CTGTAACATAAAAGAAAATACAAATTAAAAAAAAATATTAATTGTCAGATTAATAAAACGTTCTCGATTATATATACTGAGCGTTAAAAATGAATTAAAATGATTAATAAATTAAAATAGAGAAAAAGAAAAAAGAAAAAAAGAAAAAAAAACCACGATAACAACTATAGTATACGGAGTGTATAGAAGCGAAAGAAAATACGTGAAAGATCCTAATCGATTTTCAATCGAAGAAAGAAAAAGAAATAAATAAAAAAAAAAAAAAAGAAAAAGGAAAGAAAAATAAAACAATCAAGAGAAAAAAGAAAACAGAAACCCAGACAAGAGAAATAATAATATCAAGGGTACCTTCCATTGCCCTTTCCGCAGATAACAGAGCATGGGAATGGGCGATGGGGTTTGAAAGATGGTATTGGAAGATGCGGAAAGGAGGGAGGTAGGGGGGGAGGATAAGCTCGGACGACGACAATGGTCTCACGTGCGCGTCATTCATATTTTCTTAAACCCGTGTGATACATACAAAATTTCTCATTCTTATTCTTATTCTTATTCTTATTCTTCATTCTATCGGAATAAAACGAGAGAGAGAGAGAGAGAGAGAGAGAGAGAGAGAGAGAGAGAGAGAGAGAGAGAAAGTGAGAGAGAGAGAAAAAGATAGTGAGAGAGAAAGAGAGATAAGGAATAGTATAGTCGTCATAGTTGATTCATATTATATATAACTTCCATGGTGAATCCCATAGGATATATTGTTTTAGTGTAAGGTATAAAAGAAATTGCATTCTGTCACGAAAGAATGATTTTTATTGGGTACCATACGACACAACGAATAATGGTGGAAAAGAAAATGGTGGGTATGTGTGTGTGTATGTGTGTGTGTGTGTGTTTGTGAGAGAGAGAGATAGGATGAGAGGATGAAGGGTAAAGGGGTAAGAGTAGAAGAGACTACGAAAAAGAAAATGGCGGAGGAGAGAGATAGATATATAGATAAAGAGAGGGGGTAAAGGATGAGAGAAGAGTAAAATGGTGGGGATGAAATAAAAGTAGTGGGGGTAAATGAAGAGTGGAGTGGGGGTGAAGGTAGGATGATAAAAGATGTTGGAGGAAGAGGGTGGTAGTGTGTGTGTGTGTGTATGTGTTAAATATTCTCTTCGAATTTGAAATGCTTCTCAATTTTTTTAATTACGATGAGACTAAAAAAAAAGAAATAAGAAAGATAAAAGAAACGAAAAAGGAATAAGGAAGGAACGAACGCGAAAAGAAAGAAATCTAAATGATGGGGTAAGGGGTAATGAGAAGAGGGTGGTTCGTTGGTTGGTTGGTAGTTATTTGTAACGAAGTATTTTATGGGGTTGTAATTGAGGAAGTAATTTGGACGGGATCCTAATGGAGTGAAAAAAGAATAAAAATAAAGAATGAAAGACAGAAAGAAAGAAAATGTTCCATTGGAAATAATTCTTTGCAATCATATTTGAATATAATATATTAAAAAGAAAAAAATTTTGCGATGAATGATATACGAGAATTTGTTAATATTTATTTATTTATGATATGAGATATTATTTGATCAAAAAAAAAAAAAAAAAAAAAAAAAAAAGAAAAAAAGAATTGTTTAATTGCTCAATCACATTTGTATCTCGTAAAACATTTATCACGAAAGTGAAAGAAATCATGAGGATCATTTGGAAGAGATTTATTTCGGAATTAATTACGCCATATTTGAATTCCATACCGTACTACGAAATTTTCTCATAAAAGAAAAAGAGAAAGAGAAAGAGAGCAAGAAAGTGAAAGAACGAGAGAGAGAGAGAGAGAGAAAGAGAGAAACAAGTAATGATTGTAATGGTATATACTATATTTAACATACTAGACGAGCTATGTGTATGTATGTACACATATATATATATATATATATATAGAGAACACTTTATTATTAAGAGTAAGCCCTCTCTCTCTCTAAGAACGAGACCGACACGGATTAGCGAGCGAACACGATGAAGATTGGAATACTTTGGCGAAACAAATAAGTATGGCTGAGAAAAGCTTTACGAGCTCCTGCATCCGGACTGGGGGATAAGTATGAAACATTCTTATCGTGCCTTTGCTAGTGTAGAAAAACGTGACTCGTGAGAATATTGTGATGATTAAATGGAAAGGACCGAGGAGAGGGAGGGGAGGAATTGAGATAAACACACACAATACTCGTATAACGCAAATTCACATAATAATAAATGATCAAAATTGTAAAAAAAAAAAAAAAAAAAAAAAAAAAAAGAAATATTTGAAAGAATCGACATGATTTCAAATTTAATTTCCTTCTTGATATGTTAATTATACTATATCAAATTAAAAAAAAAAATATATATATATATATATATTTAAAACATTGAATATAACCTTGCATATGAAGTGACAGTTAATTTTGTGAGGCGATAAAATGAGATGAATAAAATTTATAGAAAAAGAGAGAGAGAGAGAGAGAAAGAGAGAGAACGAGAGAAAAAGAGAAGAAAGAGAAGAAAGCATATAATTACATGAATATAAAATAATAATATGATATAGTGAGAAAGATTAACGAGGATTAAAAATGGCGTCAATCGGTAATACGTTTCAGATCACTTAACGTTTTTGAACTACAGTCGTTAATGTTTTAAAGGTTCGAGGTTATAAAATTCTGATAAAAATCGATTAAGAAAAAATGAATAAGCAACCTAACGAACGTTCATGACTCGAACGTTGAAAAAAAGAAAAAAGATAGAAGATGTGGAGAAGATGGGGTGCCGCCATATTTGGTGGAACGATGAGCGGCCCGTAAACGTACAAACGAGTTGTCGGTAGGTAGGTAATATATCTTGGGGTAGTGGCACAAAGAGAACCAAAGAAGAGGGTGAAGCGAGTGAGAAAGAGAGAGAGAGAGAGAGAGAGAGAGAGAGAGAGAGAGAGAGAGAGAGAGAGAGAGAGATAGAGGGAGAAAGATAGAGTGAGAGAATGTGTCAGTGCGTGCATTTCTGTGTGTGTTTGCTGGACTTAGGCCGTGTTTGGTCATCGTGCACGATTTCTCTGGCATTGTTCGTGGATCTACCTTCTTTTGCTTTAGAACCGGTTGCACGTTGTTAACTACGTCACTGGTTGCATTGCCATTTATGGAGAATAATATAAGGACATATGCATACGGGTATGTGTGTGTATTATATATATATATATGTACATATATATATATATATATATTTTGATGTATGTATAAAGTGAATTTTTATAATGTATTCTCATGTTAAAATTGAAATTTTTAAATTTCTTAATTTAATATATACATATATATGTAATAAATAATAAAAATTATTGCAGTATAATACTATATAATAAAATATTATATAATATTGTATTGATAATAAAATATAAAATATTAGATTGTATAATGATGTTTACGTACAGGATAAATATTACACACACGCGCACACACACACATATATATATATATACATATATTTAATTATAAAAATTATAAAATTTTAATTTTAACGTGAGAATACATTATAAAAATTCACTTCATACATATATCAAAATAGATATTTCATTTGTTTAATGAATTTGTCTCTGCTTATTTGATATTATATTAAAGTGTTTAGAATTTAAGAAAGGGAAAAGGGCAAACGTCAAGCCCTATAGAATGTTTCTCTTCAAGAAAATACAATACGATATGTGTACGTGACTTATCGAATCGTTCAATCCTGCGGTAGAAAGAGAAAGAAAGAGAGAAGGAATAAACGGAATTAAGAAGAACATCTGGAAAACTCGGTCACGACTATAATGTAATAGTGGTAGTAATAGTAATGGCGGTTGTTGTAGTTGTAATCGAACGTCGTGATGCGGAAAAGACGCAACCGCAGCTGCGGTTTTCTCTCTTATTCTCTCTGTCTCTCTTCCTCTTTCTATTTCTCTCTTTCACTCACTCATTCACTTTCTCAGCAGAACCGACGATGCGGAACAAAAGCCAGGAAATATATCCGAATAATAAATATAGTTGAACATTGGAAAGCACTTAAAATCCAATTGATCCGACACCGATAATACACACGTATCGAAATTCTATGTTTTGTGAGTGAGAGAGTAGTTCTATGATACTTCGTACTATATCGAAGTATTTGCAATATCGGGTTTGGTTTGATGTTATTGAAACGGACGAATGACAGAAAAGAAAGGGGGAAAGAAAAAAGAGGAAGAAGAAAAAAAGAAAGAAAAGAAAAGAAAAAAAAAAAAAAAGAAAAGAGAAAAAAATAAAACTTGATAGAAATAATACTTAATGATATCGTACAATTACAATTATGATAATTATAATGATGACTTGTTATTAGTGTATTACAGTAGAGTAGAGTATACTATAGTATAATACAGTACAGTATAATACATTATAGTGTAATATACAGTATAGTATAGAACAATACAATATAGTATAATATATTACAGTATAGTAATTACAGAAATAGTACGTTCTCTCTCTTTCTCTCTATCTGAATCACAATGAGAAGGTGCAACCACTATTCTTCTTGTCAGTTTATGTATTAAAGTCTTTTAACGAGAGTCAATTCGATCAGAAACTCTACCACTTGACCTCCCTCCCCCCCTCTCTCTCTCCTTCCCTCTCACGGTTGACCTCGTTTCCGGTTAACTTCAACATCCTTGTCCAATTGTCTTTTATTTCCGAGTCTTAATGTGAATTTAGAACGATGTAAGTAAAGACTTAAACTGAAATGTCGTATTTTACTTTCCCTATTTCTTTCCTCTCCTTTTTATGTCATTTTTACGAGAGAAAGAGAAAATGGAGTAATCGAATTTTGTTCTCGTTTTACTTTTTTTAAGTGTGTGTTAAAATAGAAACGAAATTTGGAACCGAGAAGAAATGGGGGAAAAAAATGATCTCCCAATTTTATTAAAACTTTTTTTTTATTTTAATCACGTGACTTTTGAAAGGAGAAAGAATATGTATGTATTTAATATTTGATTTT